GAGAGAGAGAGAGAGAGAGAGGGGAGAGAATTTGATTCTCCAAGTGTTCGAAACTTACCATTCTTGAAAGCAAGGAACTCAAAAACGCTATGCACGATGGAAACCGCAATCGTCAGAGCCAGCAAGTAAGGGTTCGTTTCTAACAAAGCGACCTAGAAGAAAAAAGAAACCAAAGAGGTGTGAAATGATACAAGAAACAACAACACAGACGTACAAAAAATCAATAACAATGTATGATGACCCAAAGGGGTGTGGCACAAAAGCAACACAGTCAGATAAGCAAATAAGAGTCCCTTTATTAGCTCCAACTTCGCCCCCAATGTCCTGGTTACCTTCTGGCTGGAGAAAAACTCTCCCAGGAACAGTCTTTGACTATAACAAATCAAGTCCAAAACATGAGCAACACAAACTGTAACTTAAAAGTCCCAACAAACCAAACTGAAGTAATTAGTTTGGCAGGTGTATTGATTGATTTGTATTTTCCCTTTTTTTTTTTTACAAATAACTCAAGGGGGTGAATATATACAACACACCTTCCTCTTCCTATTTTCCCCACAATAACAACCCAGTGAAATATGTTCGTTTGAGAAACACTGATCTAAGGTCACCCAGCTGGCTTTCATGCCTAGGGTGGAAATAGAAGTCACCGTCTCCTGGTGATTGGCCCAATGTTACCCAGCCAGCTTTCATGCTTAAAACAAGACTAAAATTCAGTCTTTTGGTCATTGGCCCCAAATCCCCCAGCCTAATTTCATGCCTAAAATGGGAATAGAACTCATCGTCTCCTGGTGGATTGGCCCCAAATCACCCAGCTGGCTTTCATGGCTAAGGCAGGACTACAACTCACAGTCTCCCACTTTCTAGCCTGAGGTCTTAACCACTAGACCAAACTAGCTCTCCATTTTTCCAGAATTTCTAAACCCACCACATTCATTTTATAACAAGGACTAGTATCCTTGTATTCAAAAAGTAACCTCCTGCACCCATCATCGCATCACGTGCCCCAATCACCATTCGTCCCAACTTGAGACGTCCTCTCACCCAGGTGCAGAGATAACATGACCTTGACTTAGAAGAAGAATGCTATTCTGTCTAACCACATACGCTCCATGAAATCCCCCCCTCCCATTTTCCCAGGCTGAAGAATGTGGCAATGCAGAAGCTTCCGGTGCTAATATGGCTTCCAAAGCAGACACCCTGTTTTAGATGCAGCTCCGGAGTCGAGAGCCCGGGGTTTCCCCAGGAATAAAAGGGGTGTGTGTCTTCCCCACCACTCACCTTGACCGAATCCTGCTCCTCGTCGGATTGTCCGTACAAATCCTCCCCGAGGAAATTCCAAGGAGATTTACTATTCTGGGCGGCATAGAGCTGCCACCGCCAGAGCGAAAGCGGGCAATACGAAAGGCGGAAGGGCAACCGTTCCACGGTCTCATTAATGGGGTAGTAGTCCTTTTGCAAATTCCAGTAATCGTTGAAGTAAAGGATGGGGTAGTAATCGCCGCTCACGGCGTCGAATTTCACATCTGGAAAAGAAACAAGCCGAGAGCATCGAGAGTGTCAGAAGCTGTGGGGGCTCCATCAGTGGAAGCTTTTAAGAGGCTGGACAGCCACTTGTCTGGAAGGGCATAGGGTCTCCTGCTTGAGCAGAGGGTTGGACTAGAAGACCTCCCAGGTCCCTTCCAACCCCGTTATTCTGTTATTCAAGAGCCTCCGAGAAAGGGAAGCCCTGCCCGCCAGTATATCCTGGTGCCAGAGCAACTCCGTGGGCTCAGCCATTATTGGAAGCCTTACACTGATCCAGAGGGGGAGGAACGCTGCCCTTCACCCACGGGGTGTGGTCGTCCACGATATTGATGGTGAGGTTGGGGTGCCAGTGTGAGATCACCTCCACGGGGCCAAAATCTTCAGCTCTCTGCAAGAAAAGCACGAGGCCTGAGTCATGTTTCTCCAGAGGGAGGGAGTAGGAAAAAGAGAGGAGAGGAGGGGACGTTCTGGAGCAGTCAGGAGCCACCCAAAAGCCTGGAATAGGGCAGGTTCAGTAAAGTGGGGCGGGGAGAACATTTTGGCAGCAGCTGTCGATGGAGAGTCTCAGTCATCCAAGTTATGGTTGTTCCAAAGGTGCTTTTTTTTTCTTCCCCCAAAGGCAACTGGATTTTATTTTGTTTTTCCTGGAAGACATTTCATTTCTCATCCAAGCAACTTATTCTATTTTATTCTCTTCTGTTCCCTTCTGTCCATTCCATTCCCAATTCTACTCCACTTCATTCCATCTATTCTATTTCTATTCTATTCTAAATTGTATTCTATTCTATATTCTACTCTAAATTGTATTCTATTCTATATTCTATTCTAAATTGTATTCTGTTCTATATTCTATTCTATTCTATATTCTATTGTATATTCTTTTTTTTTAAATTAAATTTTATTAAATTTTACACTTTTAAAACAAATCATATATACAATTTACAAATCATATACAAGTCGTGGCATTGACTTTTTCATATTCATACACACACATACCTATACACATCACTTACATTTACATTTTACATTGCCTTTTGTTCCTATTATCTAACCAAACATACCATTTTTCCTATACCATATAGAATTCTTTTTCTTCCTTCTCCTGCAATTCCATTGTAAGCTTCCTCATTTCTGCACAATCCGTATTTTTTTTATAATCATATTATCTGTGGGATTACTCTAAAATTTCCAATTTTGTGCATACATTATTCTAGCTGCTGTCAATATATATATTATTATATATTCAATGTCTTTTTTGTATTCACCTCCAATTATCCCTAATAAAAATGTTTCAGGCTTAAGTATTTTTAAATCAGTTATTTCTTGTATATTCTATTCTAATTGTATTCTATATTTAATTCTATATTGTATTATTATATTGTGTTCTGTTCTATATTTTATTCTATATTCTATTCTATATTTTATTCCTATCCTATCCTATTCTCTAATTTATTCTGTATTGTATTGTATTGTACTGTACTTACTGTACTGTATTCTATGCTATGCCAGCTTGCCAGAGAGAACCCAAGTGATGTGACCACAGGCCCAGCTAGACCCGCCTAGGGTGTTTCCCAGTTGTGGTGGGAAAGGCCCTGGTGCTTTTTCCAGGTGAAGTACACAGGTGTGACTCCATCTGTCTTCACGAAGCATAACCTGAATACGAGATTCTCTCTCTCTGTCTCGCTTTCACACATCCAGAGCTCTGCCAAGTCGCCCCAAGCGGCTCAGGTTTTCTTCCCCTTCTTCTTTCAGATCTCACCAGCTCCATCAAACCTCGCCTCTGTCTTCCGATGATGGCTAGTTACCACGGGGCTATTCCTGGGCTCACTTCTCTTTCCAAAAGGCCCCTAAACCGTTTTTCACTAAGCCCACAGACACAGTTTGCAAAGTGCCTGTTTTTTATTTCCTCCAGTCGAAAAGTTTAAATGAAACTCTAATTTTCATTAAACACCAAAAGAGGAAGAGGGCCGTTCAATCCTTTTTGCTTCTCCCTACCTCCCCTTTTCTCTTCTTTCATCGACCTCATAATCCCTCGCAGGGTGGAGTCTGGGCAACTGAATGGAGCTAGCAGAGTGTTTACTGGCCAGATGCCCTTCCTGTCGCCAGTGCAGAGGTTTTTTTTTTCCCCAGCAGACATATTCTCAACGTGCTGAGAGAGAAAAATATCTTCCTCTACCTAGGATCGAACTCACAGCCTCCTGATTGTGAGGAGAGATTTGTTCCCTCAAAGAAGCAAAGGAAACAATTTCAGTAGACAAACTATCATAGCCATTTGGCAATTCCCACCCCGCCCACCCCACTTTTTTTTTTGCAGAAGCCCAATTCCGTCAGGGAGTCAGAGACTGTAAGGCTGACGACCGAAGAGCTATGAGGGGAAAAATTGGGACTTTGAAGGAGAAACAAGAACAGAAGAAAGTATCAGAGAAGTCATATTACTTTGATCATTTCAGGATCCGCTTCCGTTTCGCCGGTTAGTAAGTTCTTGGTTTTCTGAAAGCGTCTCCGTTTGTACTTATTGATCACTGCAAATATAAACAAAATAGGGGGAAAAAAGGTAAAGTTTGGTCTGAATGTGATCACTTTAGTATAATGTTTAAGGCACCAAGCTAGAAGCCAGGGGACGGTGTGTTCTAGTCCCAGCTTAGATATAAACCTTAGCTGGCTGACTTTGGGCCAATCACCAGGAGTCTGGGAGTTCTAGTGCTGCCTTAGTATGAAAGATGGGTGACTACCAGCATCCACCAGTATTCACTTGGCTAGCATCCTGTCAGGGTGTGAGAGAGTTGAGGGCTGTTTGGAAACAGTATTTGCTGTGTGAGCAAGGAGACAGCAAGGAGCCTGGGCGTGGCTTAGCTCAACTGTTCTGTACTAAAGCTGCTTGGTGCTGTGAAACTGAAACAGAAACTCCTCCTCTGCTTGTGTTTTGCATTTGGAAGAGATTTCTCTGCAGGTGGGGAGAGGGAGTAGAACTCCTTAGCATCAGAGCGTGTTAATAACAACAACAACAATAATGATGATGATGATATAGGAAATACTAATGCTCTCTGATGGTCATTTCCAAAAATCCTTTCTTAGTGAGCACTTAGAAGCCAAGAGGAACATACATGCCAAATTTCAAGTTTCTAGGCTTTCCGGTTCTGGAGATTTCGTGATGATGCGTGAGGGGTATTTCGCTTTTATACATATATAGATTTGCCCAATTAATTCCAGGCACGGAATGGAACGAGTGTGTCAGAGACTAATTGCAGCCAGATTTTGCAAATGGTGGAATGTATTTTTTTTTTAAAAAAATTGGGTTGGCAGATGACCAACCTCATCCCTGTTCCTGGATACAGCTATTTGTTGGCTTCTCTTTCCTGGCGGCAGCGGCGAACAAACCGTCATTAAAAAAAAAACAACCCAGGAGCATTTCTCCCTACGACATTTTTTCCAAAGATGCTAATTCAACAGCGGACAAAAATTTGCTCCAGCTGTTTCCTTCGTAGCTTTGTGACAGCCATGAGCCGTGGTAGCGCAGCGGTTAGAATGTGGTATTGCAGGCTAATTCTGCCAACTGCCAGCAGATCGATCCTCACCGGCTCAAGGTTGACTCAGCCTTCCGTTCTTCCGAGGTGAGTCAAATGAGGACCCAGATTGTTGGGGGGGTCAAGAGGCTGACTCTGTAAACCGCTTAGAGGGCTGTAAAAGCACTGTGAAGCGGTATATAAATCTAAGGGTTACTGCTGCTAACGACCATGACACAAAATATTGTAAAATTAAATGAGTTCATATGGTGTCTCACTTAATCACCACGCCATATAATGAAGACCCCTACTGTGGTCGTAAGTCAAGGACTACTTATAGAACTACATCTCCTGCTGGTAGCTCTGCATTTCAAAGGCCAATGTGATGGAGAGGAGGGAAGTTTATAGAAAGGATTAATGGAGGCCAACAACTGGGTTACTTCGTGGAAACCCGTCGAACATGGAAAGCATTTCCCACCACCGCTGTCTACACTACGCTTCCAACTGAAAAAAATAAAAATAAAACTATGGTTAAAAGGAAAGCTTACTTCGAGATGTGTGAACCGTGGCCAGGCGCCGGTAGAGGTTCTTCTGTTTGGGATCTGGGTGGAACCCGCTTTTCGTGAAGTACACATGGATGTAAATGGAACCGTTGTGTTGGACGCTCTGAAAAATCAGAGGTAAATAATTGTGAGCAGAGCTTGCATGCCAGAGCCAGCAGGTTGGGGAAGCTTCACCTGTGTGATAACCAAACTAGAAAGGGGAGAAGTAGAGACAGAACTTGTGAAAAGGCCCAACAGAAACCACCCTGTTGCTGGAACTGGCTGGCAGGACCAATGGTGGGATTCAAATAATTTAACAACCGGTTCTCTGCCCTTATGTTTTCTTCCCACAATCGGTTCACCAAACTGCTCAGAAAAGTTAACAAAACTGGTTCTCCCAAACTGGTGCGAACTGGCTGAATCCCACCACTGGGTAGGACTCATTCAGAGGGGGGGTATTCAGCTGGTTCTGACCAATTCTGGAGAACTGGTAGTGGAAATTTTGAGAAGTTTGGAGAACTAGCAAATCCCACCTCTGACTGGCACCACTCCCATCTATTCCCTGCCTCCCACTGAGTCCCAGCTGATCGGCTGGGTCTTCTTTTGTTGCCCTGCACAGGAGAACGGAGCTGGAAAACAGGTTAGGGGGGGTGGGGAGGGAATGAGGATTTTGCAGTATATCCTTCCCCTGCCACGCCCACCAATCCACATCACGCCCACCAAGCCACACCAACCAAACCGGTAGTAAAAAATTTTAATCCCATCACTGGACTCATTCCCAACCACGTGACGAACGCAAGGCTTTCAAATGTCGAAGAAAAGGCCCTGACTAACCCACCTGATTTTACAAACATTGTTTTCTTTTTACAATGGGTCGTTAAGGAAAAGACGCAGGCCGGTTTTGCCAAACACCAGAAATAAATGCTGGGTTTTGGCAAAATGGCCCTACATGAACGTGGGACGTTGCAAAAAGGCCGTAAATGTGGTTATATGACCAAGGAAGGGGGGGAAGGACGGACCATTGTAACTTCAAATGTGGGTGGTTAAGTCCCCTTTTTGTTGTAACTTTGAACGGTTGCTAAGCAGCCGGTCGTAAGTTGAGGACTACCCGTAGAGTCATATACAGGTAGTCCTCGACTTACAACAGTTCAAAGTTACAACGGCACTTGAAAAAAAAAGTGACTTATGACCATTTTTCGCATTTATGGCAGTGGGTCATGTGATTTACGTTCGGCTGCTTTGACACCTGGTTCATACTTTACGACGGTCGGTTGCAGCGTCCCGCGATCCCCCTTTTGCGACCTTCTGACAAGCTAAGTCAGTGGGGGGAATCCAGATTCTCTTAACAATCCTGTGACTCACTTAATAACTGGGTCCAGGAAGGTCGTAAAATGGGGCAAAACCCACTTAACCCATGTCTTGCTTAGCAACATAAGTTCTGGGTTCAATTATGGTTGTAAGTTGAGGACTGCCTGTAGAGTCCTATAGTCACGTTAAAAATGGCCATTTGGCAACAGGTTTGGGACATGCTTCCTGTGGTTACAGGAACGGTTGCAGGAACTGGGCTTGGCTGGTCTAGGGAAGAGAAGGACCGGGGGGGGGGAGAGGATAGCAGTGTCCTGATAATTGAGGGGCTGCCACAGAGAGGAGGAAGGGGGTCAAGCTATTTTCCAAAGCACCCGAAGGCCAGACAAGGAATAATGGATAGAAACTGAACAAGGAGAGATTTAACCTGGAAATAAGGAGGAATTTTCTGACAGGGAGAACAGAATAGCAATTGCATTCAGAGGTTGTGGGAGCTTCATCCCTGGAGGCCTTCAAGAAGAGATTGGACTGCCATCTGTCAGAAATGGTGTAGGGTCTCCTGCTTGGGCAGAGGGTTGGACTAGATGACCTACAAGTTCCCTTCTAACTCTGTTATTCTATTCTAAATATAAAGAACGGTTGCAGGAACTGGGCCTGGCTGGTCTAGGGAAGAGAAGGACCAGGGGAGACAGGAGAGCATCTTCCAATATTTGAGGGGCTGCCGCAAACAGGAAGGGGTCAAGCTATTCTCCAAAGAACCTCAAGGCCAGACAAGGAATAATGGATGGAAACTGACCAAGGAGAGATTCAACCTGGAAATAAGGAGAAAACTTTCTGACAGGGAGAACAATCAACTGATGGAACAGAAGTTGCCCTTGGAAGTTGTGGGAGCTTCATCCCTGGAGGCTTTCAAGAAGAGATTGGACTGCCATCTGTCAGAAATGGTGTAGGGTCTCCTGCTTGGGCAGAGGGTGGTGGACTAGATGACCCACAAGGTCCCTTCCTACTCTGATTATCTGTTAATCTGGTATGAAAAACTACACACAGAGGAGCGTTTGTAGCGGAGGGAAAAATTCAGCCATGAGCAAAGAGCCTTGCCCATGGAAAACCGGAGAAAAGAAGAGCGCCATGATGGCATCTATTCACACACCTCAGGGATTTCCAACTCGGCGTAATGCTCGTAGCAGCCATCCGAATTCTCTCCACTTGCCCAGTCCCCGTAGACTAGATCTCGCTGTTCCCAAAACAACGCCGACGTTGTGTTGAAGTCGGTAAAGTGCTCGTGTTCGGATATGAAGACGTGAAGGTCCTGCCAGGAAAAGAAAAGGGGAAAAAAAAAAACCATTCATGACACTTGAGTCAGAAGCCAAACTCTAGGCTGGAAGAAATTTTATTTAGACAGACCCACGTATTTTATTTTGGAAGGAAAAAAAGCTATGGGTTATTGACTGAAGCTCTTTGGAAACATGGAAAAATTGGTAGTTCAGTAGAGATTGGATCCATCACTTTGGTGGCTTGTCTTCAGAAAATCTACTGCACTTTAAATGTTTACAACTGGTAGTTGGTAAGAGAGCTAGTGTGAAGATGCTGGCTTAGAAACCAGGAGATGGTGAGTTCTAGTCCTGCGTTAGGCATGGAATCCAACTGGGTGACTTGGCCCAGTCACTGGGAGACTGGGAATTCCAGTTCTGCCGGGCATAAAAGTTGACTGGGTGAGTCTGAGCCAATCGCCAGGAGACTGTGAGTTCTAGTCCCACCTTAGACATGAAGCCTCACAGGCATGTGGGTTGTTGTTGTGGGTAAAATAGGAGGAGGAAGGAATATTCTGTATATTCACCAGTTATTTATAAGAAATAATAAAGCTGGGATAAAAAATAAATAATAACTATACACGTTGAGGAGGTGTGTACAATGTCCATCAATAACTATCTAGCAGCCAAACAAAATATGCAGAAGAGTAAAAATGAAAGAAGACATTATAATAAGATAATAATAAGATAAACTAGGCAGAACCATTTGTCTTACATTTCAGAATAATAAAGGCAGGATATGCTATCTATCTATCTATCATCTCTTTTATATATGTATATCTATATCTATCTATCATCCCTATTATATGTGTATATATCTCTATCTCTCTTACCTACCTACCTGTCTATCTGTCTATCTATGTATGTCTGTCTGCCTGCCTGCCTGCCTATCTATCTGTCTGTCTGTCTGTCTATCTGTCTATCTGTCTATCAAACAATCAATCAATCAATCATCTAACCAACCTAACTCCAGTAACAGAATTCTATTTCTTTTTGGAACGAAATCTGAATCAGACAATTTCAATCCTGCGGCCAGAGAAGGAGCCTATAGCTCCGTTTTCTACCAAACAGTCAAAATCTGACTTATTTATAAACTCTTGGAAAATCCGGGTTCATGATCTGGCCACGCTTACCATTAAAGTGTCTTTAGGGAAGAGATTGCGGCTTGGCGCCCTGGGTGCCCCGCCGGGGGTGGATGGATCCTGTGTCGTTGGCCCACGACGAAACCAGCTACTGATGGCCCAGATAATAAAGATTCTGGAGGATGAGAGGAAAAAAAAAAGATGTTGAGAATTTACACTCATTTTGAAACCAACCTGTCCATCAAGAGCCATTGGCCACACGGGGGAATTCCAGAGAAATTCAGATTTGGACAAAGAGGTCCTCAGCTTCATCAACTGTCATAAACTTGGTTGGGTTTTTATTATTGTGAACTCAAGGATCAAATAAGGGCAGTTCCTGACTTACATCAGTTCATTTAATGACCGTTCAAAGTTACGGCACTGAAAAAAGTGACTTATGACTGTTTTCACACTTACGACCGTTGCAACAGCACACACACACCGTGGTTATGTCTTCAAAATTTTGATGCTTGGCAACTGACTCATATTTAGGATTAGGGTCCCACAGTCACTAATTAGCAGCAGAAATTTTGGGTTCGTAAGTCGAGGATTACCTATCTGGTGTTTCTCTACCTTGGTAGCTTTAAGACATGTGGACTTCATGCAGTTTGCTATAAAATTCACTTTGATTTTTGTTTGGGGCATGAATTGTAACTAATAACATTTGTTTTTGACCCATCTCTAATTCAATCATCAAAATTCTTCCATTTGTATCAGCATATTTATATACTGCCTTAATTCCTTCTCTGGTATACAGGTGAAACTCGAAAAATTAGAATATCGTGCAAAAGTTCATTTATTGCAGTAATGCAACTTAAAAGGCGAAACTAATATATGAGATAGACTCATTACATGCAAAGCAAGATAGTTCAAGCCGTGATTTGTCATAATTGTGATGATTATGGCTTACAGCTCATAAAAACCCCAAATCCTCAATCTCAGAAAATTAGAATATTACATGCAATCAATAAAACAAGGATTGTACATAGAACAATATCGGACCTCTGAAAAGTATAAGCATGCAGATGTACTCAGTACTTGGTTTGGGCCCCTTTTGCAGCAATTACTGCCTCAATGCGGCGTGGCATGGAAGCTATCAGTCTGTGGCACTGCTGAGGTGTTATGGAAGACCAGGATGCTTCAATAGCGGTCTTCAGCTCTTCTGCATTGTTCGGTCTCATGTCTCTCATCTTTCTCTTGGCAATGCCCCATATATTCTCTATGGGGTTAAGGTCAGGCAAGTTTGCTGGCTAATCAAGCACAGTAATCCCACGGTCATTGAACCAGGTTTTGGTGCTTTTGGCAGTGTGGGCAGCTGGAAAATGAAGTCAGCATCCCCATAAAGCTCATCTGCAGAAGGAAGCATGAAGTACTCCAAAATCTCCTGGTAGACGGCTGCGTTGACCCTGGACTTAATGAAGCACAGTGGACCAACACCAGCAGATGACATGGCTCCCCAAATCAACACAGACTGTGGAAACTTCACACTGGACTTCAAGCATCTTGCAGTGTGTGCCTCTCCATTCTTCCTCCAGACTCTGGGTCCTTGGTTTCCAAATGAGATGCAAAAGTTGCTCTCATCAGAAAAGAGGACTTTGGACCACTGAGCAACAGACCAGTTCTGTTTTTCTTTAGCCCAGGTAAGACGCTTCGGACGTTGTTTGTTGTTCAGGAGCGGCTTGACAAGAGGAATAAGACATTTGAAGCCCATGTCCAGGATCCGTCCGTGTGTGGTGGCTCTTGACACACTGACTCCAGCCTCAGTCCACTCCTTGTGAAAGTCCCCAACACTTTTGAATGGCCTTTTCCTGACAATCCTCTCCAGGCTGCGGTCATCCCTGCTGCTTGTGCACCTTTTTCTTCCACACTTTTCCCTTCCACATAACTTTATATTAATGTGCTTTGATACAGCACTTTGGGAACATCCAACTTCTTTTGCAATTACCTTTTGAGGCTTTCCCTCCTTATGGAGGGTGTCAATGATGGTTTTCTGCACAACTGTCAGGTCAGCAGTCTTTCCCATGATTGTGATTCCTACTGAACCTGACTGGGAGACCATTTAAAGGCTCAGGAACCCTTTGCAGACGTTATGGCTTAATTAGCTGATTAGAGTGGGACACTTTGAGCCTAGAATATTGAACCTTTTCACAATATTCTAATGTTCTGAGATTATGGATTTGGGGTTTTCATGAGCTGTAAGCCATAATAATCTCAGTTATGACACATCACAGCTTGGACTATCTTGCTTTGCATGTAATGAGTATTATCTCATATATTAGGTTCACCTTTTAAGTTGCATTGCTGAAATAAATGAACTTTTGCACGATATTCTAATTTTTTGAGTTTCACCTATATGCTACTATTCCTCTCTGTTTCTGTACTGCCAAGGCTATGTATAATCTTCCTAATTTTGGGTATTCTAAACATTTCCTATATTGTTCTTTAATGTGTACTTCCTGTAAGCACACGATGTCCACTTTTTGTTTTGCCAATCTTGTTAACATTTGTTTTCTTTTGGTAGGTGAATTCAATCCATAGGTGAAAAGCAGCTCTGGAAAAATCAAGTTTTTCTACCCCAGTTTCTGATGACAGCACTGGGGTGGTATAGTCCTGCAGCTTTTAGAGTCATAAAATAAATCTCCACCCCTTAATTATCACCGTAACCATTTCCTAAGTTACACTTTTACAGAACTCGATTACACAATTCTTGGGCTTGCTTATGAATAAGTTAAAAGATTAATTAATTATGAGATGGCGCAAGAGCTCTTTGCAAGAATTCTAGCAACCTGCAGGGACCGGCAACAGCCTGGAACGATTTGATATCCGTATCGGCCCTCTTTTATTATAGCAGAAAATGCCAGAAATCCTTTTGAGTGACAAGCAGGTGATTGATCTGCAGAGGAATTCTATCAGGCCCTCAACACCGCGGCCCAAATTTAATCAAAACGGTTAAATCAAGAAGCAAAGAAATATTTTGAAAATCAGGAGTCTGACCAGCAGTGTATACTGACTGAGAAGTTATTTTCTGAAGCAAAAGATCCTGGATTCAAATGCATTTTCTTCTACAAATTTGCTAAGCGGACGTATTTATATTACAATATTTGTATAGCTGCCCATCTCATTTCCATGCGACTCTTGGCAGAGGATGCGAGTTAAACACAAGCTAACAATCTGATAATTCAGACCCCTTGTGCAATTCTTCACTACTACAACACTAAGTCAACCCTACCACAGATGTTTGTTATGAGGAATATTCCAAACACTTTACTATGTAAATATCAAGCATTGCTAATGGGCAGAGTTGATCAATAGAGGGACTGTAAAAGAGATTTTGGCCAAAACAAGTAAAGAAGAGAGAGAAAATGTGTGTATTTTTAGTTCTTTTTCAAAATCTATCAATATTCTTAACAGCATTAAATGAATAATTTAAGAAACAGCCAGTTTGGTCTAGTGGTTAAGGTACCAGGCTAGAAAATGGGAGACTGTGAGTTCTAGTTTTGCCTTAGGCGTGAAAGCTGGCTGGGTGACTTTGGGCCAATCACCAGGAGACTGGGAGTTCTAGTCCTGTTTTGGGCATAAAATCTGGCTAGGTGACTTCTGGGTCAATAATTAGCAGGTGGTGAGTTCTAGTCCTGCCTTAGGCATGAAAGCTGGCTGGGTGACTTTGGGCCAATCACCAGGAGATGGTGAGTTCTAGTCCCGCCTTAGGCATGAAAATCAGCTGGAGGACTTTGGGCCAATTACCAGGAGACTGGGAGTTCTAGTCCTGTTTTGGGCATAAAATCTGGCGAGGTGACTTCTGGGTCAATCACCAGGAAATGGTGAGTTCTAGTCCTGCCTTAGGCAGTTGGTTGGGTGACTTTGGGGCGATCCCTCCATCTCAGTCTCCCCACCTCGCAGGGTTGTTGTTATGGGAAAAAAATAAGAGCAGGAAGGTGTGATGGATATTTTTGCCGCCTTGAGTTATTTGTAAAAATACAAAGTGGGATAAATGAATGTGTCTACCTGTCCCATTTCATGGAAGTTTCATCCCCAAATCTAATCTATATTAAATCTGATTCTCAATCATTTCTGGACGAGGACATCTGTGGCAATATACCGTCCCAAAACTGAAAGTGCTGTTACCCTTTGTGGTTCGTTGCATTAACAACCTCCCGTGTTTAAAATTAGGGTTGAAGATAAATCCACAAACTGGAAAGACAAAGCCACAAGGTTGCGTTATCAGTTTCTGAGGCTTGATGAGTCATCAGTGAAACCCGAAAACCAAGGAGAGCCTGTGTGTGTTGCCAGCTTGGATCATCTGACGAACCATAAAGGTATGGTTTCTTATCTACATCGTTAAACAGAAGATGATAGATAGATAGATAGATAGATAGATAGATAGATAGATAATGTGTATATGTGTATGTATGTAAATATATATATATTCTGTTTAACGATGTCCCCCCTGCTTAAAGTGGGCCATAGCATTTTGGACAATTGTCAAGTTAATGCGAGTTGAATTATTATTTGAACTTCAAAGCAATCCGTGGATCCATTTTAAGCAATGAGAAAGGGAGCCCTTGCCAAATTGCAGCGTTCTTTGCAAACTCATGAATTGGGAAGAAACTGTAGGGCAGCGTTTGTCCACAATACTTCGATGCTGGCTTGGTTCCAATTTGATTGCCACTTAATAGATTGAAATATTCAACAGCTTCATCATTTGGACGTTTAATGTGTGGCTGGCACCCTAGGGGTGCCAAAGCGCATCGCTGAGGTAGGTCAAGAAAGCAGTATGAAGTAATGATTTTAAATAAAGGTTTTGGAAGCAACATTTCTGCCCTTTCCCACTGAGTCACCTTGAATATTCAAAGATTCCACTGTGCTAGAATACATTGGCTCTTACTTATAGTCCTCGATCTACGACCACAACTGAGCCCAAAATGTCTGTCCTCTACACCCTACACCATTTCTGACAGATGGCAGTCCAGTCTCTTCTTGAAAGCCTCCAGAGATGAAGCTCCCACAACTTCTGTGGGCAACTTCTGTTCCGTGGGCTGACTGTTCTCACTGTCAGAAAATTCCTCCTCATTTCCAGGTTGAATCTCTCCTTGCTCAGGTTCCATCCATTATTCCTTGTCTGGCTTTCAGGTGGAAAACCCCCTCCTCTTTGTGGAAGCCCCTCAAATATTGGAACACTGCTATTAGGCCTGGCTTTGGTGTGTGTGTGTGTGTGTGTACGTGCGCAATGGCCACAATAGCAATAGCACCTAGACTTATATACCACTTCACAGGGTTTTACAGCCTCTCCAAGCAGCTTACAGAGTCAGCTTCTTGCCCTCAACAATCTGGGTCCTCATTTTACCAACCTCAGAAGGACGGAAGGCTGAGTCAACCTTGAGCCTGGTGAGATTTGAAGTGCCAAATTGCAGGCAGCCGGCAGCAGAAGCAGCCTGCAGTACTGCACTCTAACCACTGCGCCACCGCAGCTCAATGGGGGGGGAGGGGGGAATCCTTGGTCTTCGCTGAGCTTGGTTGTTTTATTGCAGACGTTTCATTACCAAACTAGGTGATATCATCAGTGCAACCAGGACGCTTGGCTTCGCAAACAGCTGCTGAGATGCGAAACGAAAAGCAGACCCTCGTGTGGCTCTGGTAATTAAAAGACTAAGCTAGCGGCCAAAGGGAAGGGCCTTGCTTCCATTTCATCTCTACGAGTCTTGCTTGGTCACCCTGGAGAAGCCACCGGTTCCTTATTCACTGATAAGAGGGAGATACCCAGTTTCCCAGAAAATACAACCTACCCTGAAAGTAAGTCCTAGCTTGATTTTTACATGTGCGCCTAATATAAACCCTAATTCAGATCCCGCCCACTCGCATGCATGGGTAAAAATTAAACTAGGATGGGGAGGTGGAACAGTCCTACTACATACCTTTGGACAGTTGTAGCCAGGCCTCGCACACCCCGACACCTGCCTTGCCGGCCCATTTTTTCTACAGCCGGCAAAGCCAGCAAGGCTTTCCTGAAGGCCTCTGTAGCTGATAAGAAAGCTCCGGATCGATCCAGAGTTCTGTTATCGGAAAGCCTTGCCGGCCACAGGAAGTAGTAGTTCCTGAAGGCCTCTGACAGCGAAAAAGAGGCCGGGGGCCACACAAGTGAGGTTAGTCAATGGATAACATCCCTTAAAAATAAAACCTGGTGCCTTTTTTGGCAGCAAATATGTATGTATGTATGTATGTATGTATGTATGTATGTATGTATGTAT